TTAATTCTTTTATGTTGTGTGAATGTAACGCTGAGCTTAAATAAATCCAGTTTTTTTTTTAATAATTCAGACTAGTACCTAAAGTGTTTATTTTAAGGGTCTCAAATTTCAAGAGTTACAATCAGTAGGTAGTTAGTAAATGATGAACTATTGAGTTTATATTTATAAAGATAGCAAAATTTCCCTGGTTCCAATCCTTAAAAAATTAAAAAATTAAAACCCTATCAACAAAGGAGTCAGAAATGATCTTACAAATTCAAGAGACACACAATTAAAAATAATTAACTACATACATACATAATATTATAAGTTTAAATATTATTTAAACTTATATAAATAATTTACCAGTTCTAAAAAATTAAGACTCGCAAGAGTTCGACATTTCAAGTAGTTTTAAAAATAGTGAAGAAGTAGAAAACTACTTATAATTAATTAGGCAAGAAATTTCTTAAAAACTTAGTCATAAAACAAATTTCATAAATTTATTAGCTAATAGTAAGTAATGTATGTATGTATTGGTGGGGTGACGATCCTGCCATTGTTGGACAGGACCGTCAGCTGCGCAAGCACTAAAGGCTTATTGCAGTCTCCCCGTATACACCGCTTTACTGTGCTAAGTCATGACTCTCACGATTTACAGATCTAACTTGACCTACAAACCGCCCTGATCTGATTATGAACTGAATTAGATCGGGCAGAGACATAGTCACTATTTGCTCTGGTGGCAACTCATGCCTCCCAAAGAGTTCTGACCTTAGGGCACAATACTTGTCGCAGGACCCAAGAAAATGAAATACAGTCTCAGGGCCACGGCCACATAGGCACATGGCCTCATCAACTAATCCCATTGTTCTGAGGTGCCCGTTTAAAGTACAGTGCCCGGTTAAGGTTTGTGTTACTGATCGGAGATTCTTCCGATTTAGGGTTAAAAGCTTACTGCTAAGCCCCGATGAAGGGGCAGAGAGAAAATCTTTAGAAGTTAAACAACCCTTGCTTTCCCAAGATTTGGTATGCTGCAATCTTGCCCAGTTTACAATGCTGGAGATTACAGTGCTTCTGGATAGAGGAATAGAGGGCTGCGGGCCAAGGTACCCAGTAAGAGTACCTTCCTTGGCCAACAGCTCAGCCACTTCATTTCCTTCAAATCCATGGTGAGAAGGGATCCAATGAAGTGTTACCTTCTTAGTCTCCCCAATATGATTAAGCATCTCAATAGCCTCAGCAGTCAGTGATGAAACTGGCCATGGGCTAGTGAGCGCTTTGATGGCACCCTGACTGTCAATGAAGAAGTCAACGGTGCTATAGTTATGAGTATTGTCGGTCAACGTTTCAGAAGCCCTGATAATACCCATAATTTCTGCTTGGAAAACTGTGGGTGCCCATCCCAGAGGAATTGAGCACCTCACAGCTTCCTGAGCAAGATTGTTGTATGTGAAGTAGTAAGCCGCACCCGAACACTCACCCATCCGTGAACCGTCAGTAAAACAGTTCACGTCGGAGGCATTAATGGGCACGCTACCATCCTCCCAATCTTTCACCGAGCAGATAGAGGTTTCGAAGTTCCTCTCTGCTGGCGGATTAACAAGTTTCTCACACGGCATCTGGAATTCATCAATATCAGACGCCATGATTTCGACAAACTTGTTATGCTTTAACGCCCTCGTACGATCACCCCCGGCCCATTTTTTCCATTGGCCGTGGTGAGCGAGGCGATGGTACGTTCGTAGTGCAACTTGCTGAACCCGGATGTCCACTAGGACAAGTCCCAGTAGACACTACAGGGCTGCAGTAGGAGTGCTAGACATTACACCGGTTGTACCAAGCATGGCACACCTCTGTACTCTTTGCAACTGGGCCATGTGGGACTTCACCTTTGTGGCCGGAGCCCACAAGAGTGACCCATATTCCATGGCCGGGCGAATTATGGATTTGTAGATCCAATTTGTAATTTTGGGGGAAAGACCCCAAGTTTTACCAATGGCCCTCCTGCACTGGGCCAGGGCACGCATACCTTTTAGTGCCCTAGCCCTGCACAGTGGGCCCCAGTTCAACTTGTGATCCAATAAGACCCCAAGATATCTTACCTGTTTTTGATAAGGGATGGGAATACCATCCAACTTGATCACAGGAGCAATGAATTTGTATTTCTTAGTGAATAGTACCAGGGCAAGCTTATCATTGACTGACAAGCTCACCTCTTTGCACCAATCACTAACAAGATTTACTGCTCTCTGCACATGACTCCCCACTGTACCGAGGTCAATGCCCCGTCCCACTGTTGTGAGATCGTCGGCAAAGCCCTGTGAGTACAGTTGAGGGAACCGATGATGCAGTTTTTCCAGAATTTCACTTACGACCAGATCCCAGAGAAGCGGTGAGAGGACACCCCCTTGAGGGCACCCTCTCCCCACCACCCTCCCAATCTCGTAAGTAGAATCAGTTACCCAAGTGGTTCGTGTCCGAAGCATATGCTCAATATATCGAACACATACTTCGTTGACGCCAAACCTCCTAAGGCTACGGATAATGGTATCAGATCTAACCTCATTAAAAGCGCCCTTAACATCCAACATCACTGCAATACAGTACTCGCCAGAGTCAAGGGCCCCCTCAACAAGGCTAACGATCTGATGAAGGGCAGCCTCCGTGGAAACGCCCTTCATATAGGCATACTGACTGTGTCTCTGCAGCCTATCAACAAGATCAGGCGTGCGGACCCAGCCATCTACCAGTTTCTCAAGTGTTTTGAGCAGGAAGGATGTTAAGCAGATGGGCTTCCAAGCGGACGCCCGTTCGTAACTCTCCTTTCCTGGCTTTGGTAAGAATACCACTCTGGACTCTCTCCACTTCAGAGGTGTATAACCAAAGGTCAGGCACCCCCTCATGAGAGGAACCAAATACGGAATTAACTCGGCTAACCTATGCTGTAAAAGGGCTGGAAAGATACCATCCTTTCCAGCCGCTTTTAGTGGGCCAAACGAGTTAATTATGTTACTGATTTTTGAAGATGTAATCATCAGATTTATAGATTCATCATCTACTTTACTATGATCAAGTTCCCATGGAACCCGTTGAGGGTCCCTCGGGAACGACTGGTCCAATAATAATTCATAGGTCTCAGAAAGGGTCCTGGTGTAAACACCATCACCCTTGTCCAGTGATCCCAGTTTGATTGTGCCATCGTTGCGAAGGATGCGCGAGAGTCGGGCAGCAACAGGTGCCTCCTCGACACTCTCACAAAATCTTCTCCACGAGGCAGTTTTCCTCCTCCTCATTTCGTAGGAGTAGTAGTTACGAGCAGCTTTGTATTCCGCCCATGCCTCCTCTCCTCCGAAGCGGGCAACCCGATAAAGCCTGCGAGCCTCCTTCCGAAGAGAAGTCAGCTCACGGCTCCACCAAGGTACCCTCTTCCTCCTGGATTTGAGTACTTTTTCAGGGCAGGCCACATTGTATGATTTATGGATAAAGTTACTGACCCTACTAGCGCTTGCCTCAATCTCCTCCGTAGATGACATTGGGCATGCCCTAGCAGGGTCAAGTTCCGTTAGTCCTTTTAATACTGATTTGTATAGGTCCCACCTTGTTCTCTTCCTGTCCCTATAGATGATAGGGTCAGGTGGACCAAGGCTTAGGCTGGTCCGAATATACCTGTGGTCAGAGCAACTTTCGTTGTCGTCGACCCACCAGGCCTTTATCCGGTCCAGCAAATGGGAGGATACAAATGTAACATCTAACACTTCTTTCTTATTCGATACAACAAAGGTGGCTCTGTGTCCCCTATTAATGGGGTGCAGATCCACCTGTGCACTGTAATCCAATAGTTGTGCACCTCTGCTGTTGATATTGGTGCTACCCCACATGGTGTGGTGTGCGTTGGTATCACTCCCTATCACCAGAGGTAGACCGTTGGTCTCACAGTATGAGACCAACTGACGCATCTCCTCTGGGGGGCATGCATAGTTTCTATCCATGTATGCTGAGGATATCACTACCTCTCCAATACCCCCCCACTGGGTACGGATGGCTGTGACATCTCTACAGCATAAGTCAAGCAAGGGCCACACTTTGATGTCCCTACTTGTAATAATACATGATCTGCTGGAGTGGGCATCCCGACAAAAATAATGTAGGTTGCCACAACCCCCCAGACCTCGTATTTTGCCTTTATACTAGTACGGTTCTTGTATTAGGCATATGTATGTCTGCAACTCTGCTAGGGTACGACATAGAGAAGTCGTACCCTTTTTTGAGTGTTGCAAGTTAATTTGCACCAAGTTAATTAACTACATACATACATAATATTATAAGTTTAAATATTATTTAAACTTATATAAATAATTTACCAGTTCTAAAAAATTAAGACTCGCAAGAGTTCGACATTTCAAGTAGTTTTAAAAATAGTGAAGAAGTAGAAAACTACTTATAATTAATTAGGCAAGAAATTTCTTAAAAACTTAGTCATAAAACAAATTTCATAAATTTATTAGCTAATAGTAAGTAAACAATAATACCGTAAATACTCTATTTATAGCCGGGGCTAAAATCCAAAACTTAGGGTCACGGACCTGGCTACAATTAGAGGCCGGCTATAATTAGAGACCCGGCTAAATTTTGTTCCGCCCAAAATTTGAGGTGTTACAAGACAATTCTGACTCAATTTCAGTTTTCTTATGTAGCAAGATATGCCATCAGTAACCCATTCACTTTAAATCCACATCTTTAGGCGAAATTTTGCAATTTTCTTTAAATTTTCTATCATGATTACATCCATTATTGACTTCAAATGCTAAATTAATAGGTAATAATTAGTAGGTCAACTAATTCGTTGATTAGCACATTGTGCAACATTCTTTCTTGAATGGGTCATTAACGGGACACAGCGGACAAGATAGGCTATAATTATAGACCCAGCTATAATTAGAGACCCGGCTAAAATTAGAGACCCGGTTAAAATTTTAAAATCTTGGTCCCCAGACCCGGCTATATTTGGAGGCCGGCTATAATTAGAATAGGGCTATAAAAAGAGGTCTTACGGTAATTTGTTAATCAAAAGTAAATTATTTAGTGAACACATTTTAAATGTTTGCATATTTAGAAATGGGAAGAGAAACAGACAGGGGTTACACATTAAAAAAAACTAAACTACCGAAAAACTTATTTCCAGGAATATATAATATAAAATTCCTAAAAAACAACTGGATCATTTAACAAATTCATAAATTAAAATCAACAATTTTGCAATCAATTGAAAAATATTTAATAAACATATCCCATAGTTTCCAGGTAGATGATCAGAAAAACAGAGGTTAACACTTTACTACGGAAAAACTGACTTCCAGGAAGAAATACATATATAAACTCCTAACAAATTTTTCGTTCCTGGGAACCTATCGGTGATATTGGTACGGTGGTGGTATGGTGGCCTGGAGAGCTTGGTAATAATAAATGACAGGACCAGGACTGGGGTACATTGGAGTTTGTGGGGTCTCCACATTGGAGAGTTTTGAACGCCACGTGTCCTGCAGAAGCGAAATCTGGTCTTTCAAGCTGCGCACGGTGTCCTGATGAGATCTCTCCCTTTCAGAAGCTGCGAGAGTTGATTTGTTCAACTCAACGTGTAACTCGGCCAATTGATTTTGCATTTTTGAGCAGGTTTGACACGGTCGGAGTAAGGCCTGGAAATTCAAAAAAGTCCAGATTTAACTAAATACATTCCCGTAAAAATTTAAAATTTTAGGTTAAAAATAAACGAAAAAATAAATATCTGTATTTCAGTTTATAAATATGTCAAGAGTCCGTAATTGGCACTTATTTCATTTCATAGCGAAATTATATTCGCACACTAATTATTTCACAATTCGCATACAATATCATTTCTAAAAAAATTGAACTAATTACGCGTACCCTGTTAGAAAACTGGAATTAAATCATTACTGCCCGGGGGTACTGTACATTCATAAAACTATGGTGAATTCATACATAGATACATATGTACACTTCGTGATAGTATGTATTGATTTGTTAATAACTTCTCATCGGAGTGGTAACATTCTGATTCTGAGTTATGTATAAGTCGTCTTCACCACAACGGTGTACCTTCATTACTATACGGTAATGCCAGTTATTATCGGGCCGGTGAAGTCGTATTTATTCCCATCGTTATGATTCAGCACCACTTTGCTAAGAGTGTAAATATGTCACCTTGACTTCACCGGAACGGAGATAACGGGAATTACCTTATATTTGGAAATGTTGTGCTAATGAAAATTTACCACTCACAATGCGATGGTGTGAAGTGTGACCCTTCGATTTTTTTGAAATTTTGAAATGATGAGGTCCATGTCAATACAATCATTGTTTCTTGAGGCAGTTTGTGCGATGTTGGGAATTTGACAAAATATGTGAAGTCAAAGTTGAGAAATATGTATGCGATTTTTAGCACGGGTAGAGAATGGAAGTTGAGTTTGCTTCCACCGCTTGATAAAAATCGTCTGTTTTTCAACTCTGATGTCAAATATTTTGTCAAATTCCAACCATCGCACAGAAACGTTGGTTGTGTTAACATGGACCGCATAATTTCAAAATTTTAACCAAATCAAAGGGTTACCATTCACATCATCGCATTGTCAGAAAGAAATTCCTATAGGAATTTTTTTACCAAATAATACCAGCAAAGAGTATTAATTGAATATGTGTGCGCGGAGTAAATACTGCCAAATTTTTAATACATTCAAACACAAGCTATTAATAAATTAAATGCTTACCATGTACTCCTCCCTCTTCATTATTATCTGGGGGGTGGGGGGACCAGGGACCTTTTCAGCCATTGGAAACTTTGCAGATTTTAAAATTCAACCAGAGAACAATTCAACTCGATTCCGATCTGACGACTGATCACAAATTCCGGTAGGGATGCACTGCACCCTTATTTTCTACCTGGGGAAACCTTCAAAAAGGGTCCCCTACCCTTCAGCTGTCTCCATTGTTTGATTTCCATTGTCCCACCTTTATTGCTTTTTATTGCACTTAATGTCTTTTAATGGCTTTTGATGGCCCGATTTATTATTTTTGGCATACATAAAAATCAGCAGGGATCATCAAAAAAGGCTGGGATCATGAAAAGCAGCAGGGAAAAGTCAATCTACATTTTATTTCCGCTTTTGTAATAAATATGTATAATGCGCATTCACAGCAAAAACTAACACAATTGGGCAGCTGAAACTTAAAAATGTATACAAAAATGTATACAAATGCAGGTGTGCACAAATTCGGTAAATAAATAAAACTATGAATACAATTTTCTCTGAAATTATGAAAACATGTACCCATACATATTTATCCAATTTTGTAACTCAAATTACGCCAATTTCCACTGGAAATATAAACCTACGTATGAATTTGTTATGATAACTTGTGCACAGATAATTTCTTACGACGAATTTATCTACACACCTAACACAATGTAAATAAGTAGTTTTTTAATGACAGGTTTGAGTACGTTTTCAGGACTCTATGCTTTCTACAAAACTATTTTGCATCGATGATCTGCATATTTTTTTAAAAATATTCCTTGTCCAGAGTTCACACTTTTCGGATGTACATACATACGTATATGTATATTCTTGAAATATGATCACACTAATGCATACTATTGGCACATGAACAATTATATATTCTTTGGAGAAATCTGCGTCTCTAAATTGCGTCGTGTGAAATCTGAGCTTTTAGTGTAATGGATATCTTCTAGTGAAAGTGAAAGCAGTCGTCCATTAGGTGAAAGTTATACCTTTTAGGTTTCCACGACAATTCCGTTGTCTTGGCAAGGAACCAAATTAGCTGGGAGGAACGTTATGATGATGATGATGCACATTTGGCAAGAAAACGCGCAAAAAATAATACAAGTTATGCAGATTTGTGTCACCCAGCCGTAATTTCGTAGGGTTACAAATATTTACAAGAATTAATCATCTCATTGTCCACTTATTTTTGTGAAGGGGTGAATATAAAAAAATACCTAAATGGGCATTATCTAACGGACAAAATATTTACTTACATAACAAACCTTCGACCACATGGTGTTGTGCACGTACACGTTTAGCTTGACCATGCACACGGATTAATAATCTCTCCTGGTGGAATTTCATACCACAGAAATATCCCTACTTAATCCCATCTGACAACTCATTTTGTCTCTATCGTGGCATATTTACTACCCGAGAAACAGCCTTGTCACGGATACAGGATCGAGATTTCGTTACCAAATTGGTAAAAATAGACATTACAGTCTTTGACATACATATCCTTTATACTTAGACTCAATCACTTCGTTACCAGTCTGGTACCGAAGAATAAGGGCCACTAGGGAACTCTTCACGTCACAAATTAGTTGTTAGATAGTAGCAGTTAACAGGTGCATTAACTGAACATCTTTACCGGTGTGGTAATTGGATAAGTTACCACTGGTAATCCCACATTAAACAGCTTAAAGTACTTGTTTGTCACTACTGCGACCGAACCCTTACCGAGCATCCGATTTGACTTGTTGTTTGTTGGGGTGACATTCGAATGAATGGGAACAAGTCCAGATTCCGTCAGTAATTAAGTTATCTACGCAGCAATCCAATCCTCAGATGAATGAGTTCAGCACAACAAAGTGTGATTGCACAACAGTAATAAACAAGTATTTAGGGCATGATCAATCTTTGTCGTGATGGATGTGCGTCATTTCCAATAAATAAATACGTAAACAAACATTCTTCGTTCTAATGGTTTTCATAAGTGACAAGTATATTAATAACGGTACAAGTTTGTGGATAAAGTAAAGCCACTAATATTTACTTAAGTAAGTATATTCTGCATTTTACTCATCTTCAGTCAAGCATTGAATTTCCAATTTGTCAGTCTTCACATGACAGTCGGATGAACTTTGGCGATAAATCTTTGTCTAAAACTTTCACCTAATTTGTCATAGATGGGAAACCTTAAGAGCAAGAACGTTGCACTTTATACCAAGAAGTCCTATTGGTTTACTAATGAGAATTCCGACCTGTTCAATTTGAGAGGGTTCATGTTAATGGATACTGTCTAATGGACCGTGTCCTTGACGGTATTTAAGCGTAAGGCCACTTAAAACTTTTTGTAACCATATTCTGTTCTAAAGTAGAAAGGAAATGTCTTAGTGAGTAGGAAATTTTGCTCTTATTTTTTTAAAAACTTTTTAATTTCATATCATAATTTCTCTGGATGTTTAATTATCATGAAGCATGTAGTTTCACAGTACGACTTTCTCCCACATTTTGATACGAAATATGCGCTAACTATATAGTCGTCTGACAAGTGAAAACAAGGCAGCATGTCCACAATTTTCTGGGCGACACACATCGCAAAATCATCATTGTCTCTCTACATAAACCTCCAAATCCTCTCCTCATATCACAAACTGCCATAAAATATCCCCAAAATTCTATGCACTTCAACTATACCCTTCATATTCATGCAGCTGCATACACGCATCATCGCTGCCCATCATCATAACTTCTAAATCGAAGAAAATAACTTGTTCCCCGGGACTCAAACATTTCCGGGTCGTGCATAAAATATGTGCCCGATATTGGTAGAATTTTGACAGAATAGTGTGTTTAATGGCGCGTTAAATATGACGATTGACCTCGAATCCGTGAAACGGTCACTTCCGGTGAATATTCAGCTAAAAAGATTAAATATCTATATTTAATGGTAAAAGGTGAACTAATCCTAAATATGTATTCATATTCATAAAATTCCTTCCAACTATTCCTGCGTAACTTTTCCTTGTCTCGTTTATGATTCTATCAATGTTCGTACCACATCAAGTTAACCATAATGTCCATGTCTGTTGTCCACATGAATTTATGTGTCCAACCGTATCATCCATTTATTTCTGGTGGAATGATCGCTGCAAGTTGATCATTTCACGAGACGAGACTCGCAACAAGTAAATTACATACATCAGAGCGACTGGATGGAACGGAATTCGCAATAAACTTTATGGAATGCTCGTCCTTTATAAGACATGGATTGTCCAACTCCAGATAATAATCCCGGTTTGTAGTGTAATAAGTACATGTCACCGATAATTGCATACGTTGACTACATTTTGCAACCAGACCGGAAGTACTGGATTCAATTAGTGTCACATTTGCACTTCGAGGAAAATGAGATTGTCAATTTGGTCGCGCATCGCTAATTGAGTGATAATTGTAGCTGTAAACTTTAATGATACACATATTTTCACATTATTATCAGATTCATAGATCTTTCGCATTTTTAGCGAAAAATCCTTCCCACTACAAATGGAAGTATGTACGTCGAATTAATGAAGCAAATCCAAGTGAAAGTGGTCATCGGGTTTTTAAAAACAATTTTTATGCATACGTATGAAATTTCAACTTCCATTTGTAATTAGGGACCGTCCATAAATTATGTCACTCCAGAAGGGGGAGGGGGTCCAAGACTCCAGTGATATCATGTCTATGTGACGCATGTAAAAAAATGGGAGGAGGAGAGGGTAAAAAAATTGCGATTTTTGCGTGGCATAATTTCTGCATGTCGAACTAGTTCAATAAGAAAAGGTATGTATAGTACATGCACATATATATGTGTCAAACAATTACCTTAATGAAAATGTTTTATCGAATACGAAATATTCTGCAGGTTTGGATTAACAATCAATGTTCTGAATTTGTACGACTTTTTGTCTATCCGGTTTCAAATAGTTAAATAAGTTATGCAATTACGTACTACGTATATATGTACATACATATTTATGCATCTACATAAGTCTGATTTTAAAGTTTCTAGCAATGTTGGTTTTTACAAATCAAAATCCTGCGTCAAGATGCTTATGTAACAGAATAAACTACGAAAACCTTTGAAATCGTACCTGTTCGCAAATCAAAGTGTTTCATGGGTAACTTTATGCTCCTAGTTTGACAAGAAAGTGAAAGTGAAACTGGAGCAGTCCAACTTTCTCCTGCAATACATATCCCCGTACAAAACCTCTATACTCTAAAAGAGAAGACAGCTTTCGATCAGGAATTGGAGATCGTTTCTTTTGTTCTAATAACTTACGATGAGGGGTCGTGCATAAGGCATGTCGCCGATTTCAACCTTGTGTTTAGCTGGGTAGTGTACACACTAAAAACTAATTTTAACCTTTTGAAACGTAATTGCACTCTCAACTTCTTATTACGTAAACCATAGAAAATTCTGTACTCAATACAGCGTATACTTAATTTAGAATTCAGGGTTTCTTTACTGTTCAAAATAACAATATTATTATTGAAGCAATTTCATCGGCATCTGAGGACATTTTCTTGAAATATTTTTATTGCGAGCTTTCTTTCACAAACTGTGAACTTCGTCAGGCAAAGTTTTTTGCAAATTGCAAACAATATTATTTTTAAGAGTGTTTGATTCATAAATACGAGCAATAGATATGTTTTGCGTTTTACATGAACCAATTTTATTTTTACGCTCAATCGTTTCCTAAGTGTTGTAGTATCAAGTATCGAAGTTTATGTAGTTATGTACTTACTTTTACGTTATTCCCCTTGCTACCCCAAATTATTCACTTCATTTTCCCTTGTTGATAGTTTTTCCGCAGTAAAAGGAAACCACGATCGTTACGAAATAAATAAAACTTCATTTTCCATGCTTCTTCATGAAAGTATGGTTTTATGTCTAATAAAATTAAGACGTAGTTCTGGCGACGACCTGGTTTCTTCAAATTAAAAAGTTATGCGATCATAATTTCCGGTCTGATGTAACATTTGGAGAAAGTATGAAATATGCACATATTTCGAACCACAAAGGGCACAATTTTGTTTATTTTATTT